GAGTCATACAGTGTAACTAAGTGGTCAATTTGCTTAAGTAGTGCCAGATTGCTTTCCGAATGGCTGCACAAAGCTATTCTCTCATGAAAATGATTTATAACCATATGTAGCTTAGCTTAATGAGGGAGGAAACACCTCAGTATCTTCGTGAATTTTATGTCCTTCACTAACCTGAACTAAATCTCTTAAGAAAGTCTCCTATCAGAAGCATCCAAGTTACCTCATATCTCCAAAGCCACAGCCATGCTGGGTGATGAGGGCTAACAGAATCTTATAATAGTATACCCCAACCTAAACTATTGTAACCTGGTAAACTATCAAAACTCTATTCCAGGCCTCAGAGTTGAGGGAGAGGAAGATGGGAAGAAGAAGGAAGGGTGTATTGGGCTGTTTTTGCATTACTGTAAAGAGATACCCGAGGCTGGGCAATTTTATAAAGAAATTAGCTCATGGTTCTGCAGCATTGCTCCAATATCTGCATCTAGTGAAGGCCTCAGGAACCATACAATCATGGTGGAAGGCAAAGGGGGAGCAGGCAGCACATGGTAAGAGCAAGAGGAAGAGAGAGAGATTTTAAACCAACAGATCTTACAAGAACTCACTCAGTATCTAGAGGACAGCAACACCAAGCCATGAGGGATCCACCCCCATAACCTGAACACCTCTTACCAGGCCCCCACCTCCAACATTGGGGAGCACATTTCAACATGAGATTTGGGGGGGACACACATACAAAGCATATCAAAGAAAGGAAAGCTTAAGAAAGAGGTGGGGGGAAATTACTTCACTTATGTAGGAAGGAGTAATGGGGAATCATGCCCTATCATTCGTTCACCAACTCAGGATCTTGTTTTACAGACATGGAAACCAAGACCTAGAGGTGAAGCCATGTCTCCAAGGGTTGAGTGTAAGACTGCTAGGCTAGTCTGCTGGCTTCCAAGTGAGGTCTGGGATAAGGGGAAGGTTACAGGGAGATGTATGCAAAGAATAGAGACAGATGTACATGAGCTGATGGCTGAAGACTGCAGCACGTTAAGACTGAATCTTGGACAATGTTAATATTTAAAAGAGATGAAAATGTGAAGCAGAGAGGATCAGATCCATCTGTTGTCACCTCATGAAGACTGTATCTTTGAAACACTTTATAAGCAGCTAACTCAGACTTCACTACAACTCTTATAAAGGAGAGATTATCATTTCTTTTTTATAGATATTGGAATGGAGACTCAAGAGTTTTCAAGCACTTTCCTCAATGTCTTGCAGTTACAAAGTGTTAGACTGCAATTCATATTCAAGTTTGTTGATGCCAGAGTCTTTGCTCTTGACACACACACACACACACACACACACACACACACACACGGGGGGAGAGAGAGAGAGAGAGAGATAGAAGAGAGAGACAGAAGAGAGAGAGAGAGAGAGAGAGAGATTCAAGGAGTGTGTGGTTAATATAGCCAAATGCTGAAGAGAGGTCTAGAAGAGTGAGGAGAGGAAATGGTTTTAGAAATTGTGGTCTTAGATGGAGAAAGTCCTTCATCAGTGTCCTTATGCTGCTGAGTGGAGCGGCTAGGAGGTCATAATCTGCTGATCTGGGGAGCCTCTAAGACAAATAGAATACTGGCACCACAGATAAGTGGACATACATGGTTGGATCTTGAAACCTTAACTTAGATACAGTTTCAAACAGAATTTTGCTGGCTTAATCATCAACTTAAAGAAACCATAAGTGACCAGACTGACAATGGCTTTTGTCCAAGTCCAGCTAATGAAATGGAGAACATTGAAATGGTATTGATGCAGGTGCTAGAAAGGAGACTGTAGAAAGATCATTGAAGCATTATTCTCACATGCCTGTTAGCAGAAAGCAAAGGGGTTACCAAGGAACGTTTCGTTGGTTTGTCTAACCTGAAGTTTCACTGAAAATTAATGTGTTTGGTAGGTGGGAGCAAAGAATGATCAGTGAGCTTTTCCACTTGTATTCTGTTCATCGAAAAAGGATGTTTCAATTTCAGGATCATAAATAGCAGTCTTTTTTTTTTTTTTCCAAACAGCAGTTTAATGAGCAGAACATAAATAAATTCATTGTTTCAAAAAAAAAAAAAAAAAAAAAGGATTACAGAAATTGAAGTGGCAGAGCACCAGGCAAGTTGCCTTTTTGGGTTTTAAAAAACCCAGTATTTCATGACCATTGCACGATCAAGGCAGGGTTTGCAGGACTGACTCCTTACTCCTTTGAAGCCAGGTGTAAGCTGTCTGCTCTTCCTGGCGGGGAGGCTGTTGAGCTATTTCCTGTGGTGGTTGTGCATTCTGGCCCGAATCCCTGGTGCCACTAGTCTTCCCCACTACTCCCACAATCTCTTCTTGCCTTTTCTCCCTTTCTCCCCTCCTTCCCGCTTACTCTTTCCCTCCCTTCCCAAGTCTACTTTCTTGAGGCAGTTCCAGTCACCAACTCTACCCAAAATGTTTAAAAGATTATTCATAATTCCAAAATTCAGCTTATGTTATTGGACCCATGAGTGTTACTTATGTTCAGCGTGGCTACCGTAGAACGTTGACCCTGAAGTCTGGAGAGTTTCTGTTCACCCTTAGCTGAAAAGAAGCAGTGTTTGTAATTTTTGTCTGAGAATTCCTTCTTCTGTAACATGGAAAACAGTGCCTGTCTTGGCACAAGCTTGTAAGGAGGAATTTAAACGCAGTATGTGAAAACCCCTAGTCAGTGCCTGACATATGAAAGGTGCTTGGTTGGTTATATTCACATTGGCTACTCCGAATATAAACGTAAGATGGCTGATTCCCTCTGCCCCTCCAAAACAAAAGAGGGTTCATCTATTCCTTAAAAAGAAAAACGTGAGAAAATCCTGAACCTAGGGGCAGAGAAGTCAGGGAACAGAGCTCAAATACCTGTTCTTGAAGCTGGCTGCTTTGAAGTTGATATTATGGGAATTGGGAACTCTGATTTTTTTGTAACAGCTTTAAGATAGCATTGACATTTGAAGGCTGTGTATATTTAAGGCATACAACTTGATGTGTGTATTCATTGTGAAATAATCACTGCTTTCCAGGTAATTAACATAGCTATCGCCTCTACAAAGTTACCACTGCCCCCCCTTTTTTTTTTCACTCTGTTGCTCAGGCTGGATGGAGTACAGTGGTGCAATCCTACCTCACTGTAACCTCAAACTCCTGGGCTCAAGCAATTTTCCCACCTCAGCCTCCTGAGTAGCTGGGACTACAAGTGTGTGCCCCTTTGGCTAATTGTGTGTGTGTGTGTGTGTGTGTGTATGTAGTTTGTAGATATGTTTTCTTCACCAATTCCTCTCTTCTTTCATTTTGGGGCTGCTGTCAGTCTTCTGCTGGAGTCCCTCAGTCTGTCCTCTGGGCCTCTGATGAGCCTTTTCATGTCTGCCTTTTTATCTCCTGTGCTGTCTTCTAGGCAGTCTATGAGCGTTCAATTTCAATGACTGTATATTCGATTTGCAGGACTAGTAGTTGGTTGCTTTTCAGAACCATATATTCTTTATTCATGTCTGCTTTTATTTTTTTGTTTGTTTCTCACGGATGTAATTACTTCCTTTGTCTTTCTGAGGGTTTTAAGCATGCTTCTTTTAAATGATTTTGAGACTGCTCAGGTGTTTCTATTTTGGAGGGAGTAAATGTTGCTGGCCTTTAAAATCGTTGTCTAACTTTCTTCCTGTTTAATTTTCTTTAAAATTTAGGTTTGCATGCTCTTCCTGAGCAGCTCATCCCTCCCCATAGCTCTGGGTTATTTTCCTCCTCAGTTAGTGGTTTTGACATTGCCTCTCTCTGGTTCCCAGGAACTCTGTTCCAGAGCCAGGTTGAACATTCATGGCTGGGCTCTTAACTCATGTACTAGGGCAGGCTTCCCCAAACTACGGCCCGCATGTGGCCCCCTGAGGCCATTTACCCGGCCCCCCTGCCGCACTTCAGGAAGGGGCACCTCTTTCATTGGTGGTCAGTAAGAGGAGCACAGTATGTGGTGGCCCTCCAACGGTCTGAGGGACAGTGAACTGGCCCCCTGTGTAAAAAGTCTAGGGGCGCCTGTCTAGGGATACATACATGCAGCCACTCAGCTGGTGGGTAGCTTCTCATAGGGTGGGGCTCCAGGCTGTGCCTGCTTCCTGCCAGTCCTCTGGACTATAGAAAGGCCAGTGGTCCGGCTTTTCCACCTCCTTTTACAAACAAAGGGGCTCAGCACTGTGCCTGGTTTCAGGCGGTGAGCCTGACTTGGATCCTCTGCCAAATCTGGAAGGTTTTGCTCCCTGTCACCCAAGAAGAATCAGACTTTGGTCATCTACGCCTTCTTGACCAAGAGACCAAGAGGCCCACGGTTTTGACTCTGTTTATTACTATGTGTTTCTTTTTCATGGAAGTATTTATCTGATTTTTTAGTGTGATTTTTATCTTTATGTGCAAAACAAAAAATGTTTCACATATTATTGCTATGCTTGGAGTAACGATGAGGGGGCCCACAACTTGAGCTCACGATGCCATCTTGCCAGGGAATATCTCTCCCCATTAATCGTTGTGTTCCCATGCTTGTCACACAGCAGATGCTTGATAAATTTTACTGGTTTGCTGTTACTGAGATATGGGCCTATTGGAGGCAGAGAGGCCTGAGTGTGAGAAAACCCCGGTCACCACAAAGTCAGGGAAAGCTCTGTCCGAGGCCCTCTTCTGTGACTCGGAGGCCTATCTCAGGAAGCTCTACTTCCTGGAAAGACTATCAGGGTATTAAAGTGTCCTCACTACTAGAGAGAGGACTGATCCTCTTATGCTCTAAGAAAAGCATCCTCATCCACTTAGGAACCTTTCGTGCTAGTGTTTAAAGAAAGTATTGTCATTTAAGCTGATTTGTGGCCCATCAAAAGATTCAATATCCCCAACTTTGGATTCTTGGGCCACTGGGTCAGTGTTTCTCTTCAGCAGGCTGACTCAGTGGTAGAGAAAGGAGTTACATTGATTGTTGACGGGACACTCACCTGTGTGAAAAGCAGGTCTCACATAATCTGTCCAGGCAATAATCTACTTTAGGACTGGCAGATGCCCTCTATGGAGAAAATAAGTCAGTAATGTGCTCTTAGCAGGAAACTTTGTCAGTGGGTTGTCAGAAGTAAAGGGTGTGATTACAATCTAACTTCAGCGTAACTCTGACTCTTCATGTGTTTTTCTCATTTATCTCATGAGTCATAAAAGCATTTTGATGATTGCAGCAAAGTCTGTGGCTATTTAGCTCTACCACACTGGAAAAGCTTTATCCAGTAATAGAAAGAAATAGAGTGCCACATTGTTAGGTTCCAGAGATCCAGCCTCCGCTCTTTCTTTGTCTTTTATTGGAAACTTGTGAGATTTAGAAGACTCTTCCCTGGATGCATTTGGCATCACAGTTTGCTGAGAGTTTTTACAGTGCTGGTTCACTGCTGGCACGGGGTGGTGTGGGAGACACTGGGTGTTTCTGCCTGTCCAGCATCCATTTCCATTCTTCTAGGAACTGGATGTTTCTGTCTTGTGGAGAACGTATTCCACAGCTGGAGCTAGGCCTGCCCTGCCACAGAGGAGGCCACATGACCCAGGAGTGGTTTAGAAATGAACACATGACCCAAGCAGAGGCTTCCCTGGGTATTTCTGTTGGACCTATTGGAAACTACTTTTATTCCACGGGGATTCTGCCCTGGTAACCACCTTCCCACCTTTTGGAGAACACCTGTCCAGCAGGTGCAGACAGAGGCATGTGTATGATGACATTGTCTGAGACCTTTCATCAGCTTGCCTGAGGTCAAATGCATCCCGGTGTATAACCCATGGATTTATTTATTGACTTAAGCTGATCTGAGTTGAATTTCTGACACTCAAGACTAAAAGTGTTCTGACCCTTATGTGTAGGATCCAGGAGTGAGAAATCATTCAACAGAATTCTTGCGAGCATGCTCTATGTACCTTTTCACTCATTTCAAGCCCAGGCTACTCGTGATGCATGCCTGGCCCTTACGCACTCTCAGAGTAGCTGTTCGTGAAGCATATTGGGCAAGAATTGACTTTTTGAGTGTCTTTGATCAACTAGTGTTGGAGGAGCCAAATAGTCAAGATTGGGGAAAGGGAGAGGAGGAGGAAGACCATGAAGTAGGGCATCGACTGATCCTAGGAGCCATCCAGGAACTGCAACTACTGTGTGCCTAAATGCAGGAAGGGCCATTGACTGAGGATGTGCCCTCCTTCTGGATGCCTGCCGTGTTTCCTGCTCACTCATCCAAACCTGCTGAAATATCATTTTACCCAGAGAGTCAACATACTTTTTCCACAGTGAGACCAATTGAGAGTGCAAGTATCCCAATTTCCAGGTGAGTGCTGTATTTGTCAAATCACACTTCCTTCCTGCCTCGGGAACAAACTAACCTGGCAGTCAGAAAGCACAACTGGGCACAAGATTATACAAACAGTAGGAGAAGATGTCCTGTAGATAAATAGCACCATGTACATGGTCTGTGTAGCTGGGAGCTCCTGTAGGACAGGTGGGCTTTCAGAAGTTCAAGAGAAGGAAGACCGGACAGAGAACCTCTGAGCTTGCCTTTTCCCACCAAAAGTTGTGGAGGTTCTGATACAGGGCACACAGGTGCAGTAAGACTGTGTGGGGCAGGAGGGACAGCAGGAGAAGAAGACAGAGAAATGAGTAGAAGGCAAGGCAGAATGAGGGGACTGATTGCTGATTAGAATCTTGCTCTTCTCTTCTGTGTGTTGTGTTCCAAGCAGACCCCTAAGTCTGAATATGAATTGGAACAGGAACCTTGAAACTGTCATTGAGGAGTGAAGCATGGCAGTGTTGGAGTGGGTTTCTCAGGAGGATTGGATGGGGAGAGGAAGTGGTTTTGTAGGAGAAGAAAAGAGAAGCAAGTGAAGATGAGTTCTTCACCAGAAGCTGCCCTCCAGGTGGGGAAGCAAGGCAAGGAATGCTGGGCTTCTAGAAAGATCCCAGACCTTAGGCCCTGATCCAGGTGGAGCCCAGAGGGCTGAGATCAGAGGAAACCTGCTGAGAAACTGTGGGCTTTCTTACCACAAGGCAGTCTCACTGCCCTGACCAGACCTGGCCACGATTGACATTTAGACAGGAAAGAGCACACGGAGAACACGGAGGAACGTGGCCCACCCACGCCGTGTGGGAGGCAGACAGAAACCTTGTGTCTGTGAGGCCGGTACACTCTGTCTTCCTCTAGTCTACAATTAATTCCTTCAACCATCCCTGGCTTTTAATCCAAAAACTCATCTGTGGGAGATTGATTTAGCACCTACGTGCTACCTGTCAGCTCAGAGTCAGGGCAAAGCCAAGCAGGCACAGACGTGGCTTCTGCTCCCACCTTTCTGCCTCCTCCACACCCTTTAATTCATTACATCAGGTTCCCCTTTTTAAGAGCTAACGACTGAGGTGTGTGCGCAGCTTGTGCTCCTAACCAAGGAAACACTCTGTGTTCTGTCGGTGGCACGTCAGCATCCTCCCCCGTCTCCTGTTGCCAGCCTCTGCCCTGCGCAGTGCAGTTCAGCCAGCTGGCCGGCACTGACTGGGAAGCCTTCTGGTTGCCCCCGCCTGATCAAGGTCTTCGCTCCACACCCCTAGCCTTCTCCCGATGGGGAGAGTTTTTGGAGACCCCCAGAAAAATCATTCACTCCATTAATTAGATGTGTAAAAAGGGTGGAGGATATCACTCTAAAAACGAATTTGAGACCCTTGTGGTGTCAGAGAAAGGACTAAATGGACAACAAACCCACTTTATAAATTATTTGTTTTATCCATTCAGTCTGAACAATCGGTAGGTCCAAGTGAAAATCCAAGCTCAAAATCAGAGTCAAAGAACTGACCTCCGTAGCCCAGAAGTACCCTCTACGTCACTGACCCCACAGCATGTCATTAAAAGAATTAAAAATAAAGAAAGAGGCTGGGTGCAATGGCTCATGCCTATAGTCCCAGCAGTTTGAGAGGCCAAGGCAAGAGGATGACTTGAGGCCAGGAGTTCAAGACCAACTTGGGTAACGTAGTGAGACCCAAACCCTACAATTTTTTTTTTTTTAAGAAAAAAAAAAGAGAAAAGCCAGTTGATTCAGGTGCTCTAATGAGATCTGTGGACTCATTCTTTGAACCCACATTTATGTTAAACAGAAGCTTCCAGCTCTGAGTTCTTGGGCATAGGCTGATGTGAGTTCACTGTGGATTCCTGTGAAGTGTATTACTGCAGGTGACCAAAACTGGACTCCGGCTGAGGTATAAGGGCTCTCCCTGAGATACGAATATTTTACTAGTTGTTTTGTGTCAGGGGAAAGTGTAGCAGCTCCTCCTCTGTACTGTAGCCTCTCTCAGAATGGTTGTGTCTTGTCATCAGCCCTTTCTGTGTGGTGCCATCTCCAGCATGGCCTTGCCATGAAGAGACTTCCTTTTGGGTACCTGGGGCAGACACTGCCACAACCGCAGGCATCCTTTGCTGAGTGCTGGTTGTGGCGAGGAGCCGAGGCCAGCCGACATGAGTGTGCTGGTGCTCCAGGATTACGCTGGTTGACCAAGTTGGTCAGCAGAAACATTCCTTAAAATACCCCAGGGGCGTGTTTTTATTTTGTATTGTTTCTGAAATGATAAATATTTGAAAACATGGACGCCAGAAAAGACATCTCTATGACTTTTATAAAATTGGCCATGCCACAAGTTTAAAAAAAATTAGTTAAAAGACTAGAAATTATGGTTACAAAATTTCTTCGCTAATAGTTTACTGTGTGGCTTGGGTGAGTTTAACTTTAAGGTGTGGTAGCTCTGGAAATTTATCGTGAGTCACTACATAATAACCAGCTACACCATCAGGCATCAGCCCACACACAATTTTCCAGCTTGAACTTTGAATGTTTCATACAAAATGAAAATAATGCAGTTTTATGTTTTATTCTAGGGATGAGGTGGTTGGCACCATTTTAGGCTTTGCTGAAGATGTGTGAATTTGATGTTTCCTACCAAATTAAAATATATTGAGGAAGTACTTAGTTTTTAGTTGACAAACTTAAATCTCCTTTAAAAGCAAATCATGCCAAAAAACCATGGTCTATTGTCTGTAGGTTGATTTCCTTCTTCGTGGGTTGTTTGACCTGGACCATCAGTCCTCAAAATGGCCAACTCAGCTCTTGAAATCATAATTACACATTTGAAGGAAGACGAAACCAGCACACACAGATGGTTATCTGTCTGCATGCTTTCTTTTTCTTGCCTTCTGTTCTCTTTCTGAGATTGGAGAACCATTGATACACTTTTCTTGTACTGAATAGAAGACGCCATCATGCAGGAGATGGTAGATGTTCTTTCTCTGTACACTGGGATTGGTCTTGAGTTTTAATAGTTATTAAATGCAATTGTGCTGGGCCCTTGGAAAGCCAACTTTTATTATGTAAATTCATGAGAGATGATTATTTTCCTGAAAGCCTTTCTCTGTCTGGATGTCTCTGTATTCTGAAAGGCTTTCTTCGTCTGGGATCTTTTCTGGTCTCATTTAAAAAAATCCTCCTTAACCTCTGTGGTTCCGCTAAAATATCTGCTTGCTTGACTTTCTTTCTTCCCCTTGTCCTTTCTTTTTTGAGATTCCCTTGGCACTTGTCATGTATATCCATTTTGGATGTTTGTTCACTGTTTTTTAATGCGTTCTTTTGCATGTGTTCATATCATCTTCTTAACTAGTCTGTAAGTTCAGCAAAGGAAAAAAATGCTTTGCTCATTTTTATAAATCTCACTGTCTAACACACAACAGGCATCCTGGAAATGAATTGTTAATGCAGTTCTTGTGCTCATTAACTTTCATGTAAGGCAAACCATGTGTGAGACCCCTGTTAGGCATGTTCACCTCCGCTGTCTAATTGAGTCTTCCTAGGGACTCCAGGAAATAGACACTATTATAATTTTTAGGGACAGAACTAAGCCACAAAGAGCTTGCCTGATGTCCCCAAGCCAGGGAATGGCAGAGCCAAATATAGTATAACTCCCAATCTAATACTTCTTCTGTAATGCCATCTTCACAATAAGTAAAATTATCAAAAAGTCCAGGAGGCGGGGATGCTTCCTTTTACAGGTAGGAGAGCCTGCTTAGGAAGTCAGTTCCTCAGGAGCCCTGGAACCTGTTGGAGGTGCCCTCAGGGAATGACTGTGCAAGCTGCTGGCAAGCTCCCACACCCTGCTGGGGGCTCTCTTAAGAGTGTCTTTAAACTCTGCCCAGTTTTCTGACTATAGCCTTGTTATGCTAACTGATATCCAGGGTCCTGATGGCCATAGACAAAGAGAGTGCCTCTGAAAGCTCTTTTATTTTTCCTAGCCTGGGATTCCTTTCACTTGATGCCCTCGTGTTCTTTGCACTGTTGCACTGTAAGCTTTCTTCTAGACAGAGCTAGCTGTAGGCAGAAAGGACAAAGGAGAACATCTGGCCCTGAGGATAGTTAGGCAGCTCTGCAGACACTGAACAGGGCTTTGAAATCCCTTGAGTCCACAGTGGGTGAGGAGTCTTGCTGCAAATGTGTATGTCGGTGCTCACAGAGCGACACCAAACCCAGGCAGCTGGGCTGCTGTGCCATCACCAACTGTGTAGTTGAACAGGCTTGCCTGGATGAGAATCCGCATGACTATACGCAAGGAGAAATGTTGGTACCTAGCAAAGAAGCATTGTGACAAACGAGAAAACTTGGCTAACGTACTCTAGTGGTTTTGGATAATTTCCCTTTGTTGGTCAATAAACCAGCCTGTTGAGGGTGGGGGGATGTGAAAAATTTCACCCATACACAGCAGAGTTTCTCAGTGTCAAATGTCTGTCACAAATTTTGCTTGTGGTCACCTCGAAAGCCTACAATTTAAAAAAAAAAAAAAGACGGCAATTATCTCAACCAAAGTGCTATTGAATGCACTTCCCAGTGGCTGATCCTCAGACCCCTTTCCCAATAATGTTTTCCTCGTGCAAAAAGCCCAAAGGAGCGTGTACGCGGTTCTGAAGCTGAGAAGTCAACTCCGCGGAAAATTTGCATGCTGTAATTGAGTTGCCAGGAATACTCAAGACATAATTCTTCAGGCTTGTAATGATTGTGATTCACTGCAACCTTCCAGGCTGGCAGTGGAAATGGCAGCCGGACTCCTCCGGGATCTTGTAACCTGGTTGTAAGATTGGGCCTTTGCCATCCAGCTCTGATCCTCTTGTTTTCAGGAGGTTGTAGTTGGCCAGCCAACCCTCAGCCTTCTCCTGCTTTAAACTCCTACAGTTTATTATGCATTTGCACCTCCTTTGGACGTGGGGTCATGTGGTTGCCAAGTATGCTGGATTGAAATATTTAGTATAGAGGCATCTTATGACTACAGGATAAGTTCTTGGAGGGAAAGAACCCTCTCATACTTCTTTAGGTAAGCACTTAGTAGATGCTGGGTACTTTTGAATGAATGAACAGAGAAGGAGTCTGCATTCCTTTAGAATATTTTGAGTGCCTGTTTGGGATGTGGCCCTGTGAACTTGCATGACATAAAGGTATGATTGGGGTGAAGTTGAGGAAGGAGCCAGTGTAGAACCCTTGTGGATAATTTTCACGAAAAATTAGTTGGTCCATCATTCCTGGTTGACAGATTGAACTTAATGTGGAAATCATTAATTATTGCGTCTCTAAGCATTAGGGCAAAGATAAGAGCCTCTGCTCCTTGTGTGCCCTAATGCTCAATGATGCAGTGTGAGGATTTGTGTGTGTGTGGGTGTATATGTGGAAGGCTACATTGGATCTTGTCACTGCATTGCAGTGAAGTGACACACAGTTGATTCCTAATTTGCGGAAACTTCCATCACTTCATCATTCCATTATGCTATATCTTGGGATACTTTCCTGTGTATTGGGGGATCTTTTTCTCTGATTCTATTTTTTTTTTTTTTTTGAGACAGAGTTTCGCTCTTGTTACCCAGGCCAGAGTGCAATGGCACGATCTCGGCTCACTGCAACCTCCGCCTCCTGGGTTCAGGCAATTCTCCTGCCTCAGCCTCCTGAGTAGCTCGGATTACAGGCACGCGCCACCATGCCCAGCTAATTTTTTGTATTTTTAGTAGAGACGGGGTTTCACCATGTTGACCACGTTGGTCTCGATCTCTTGACCTCGTGATCCACCCGCCTCGGCTTCCCAAAGTGCTGGGATTACAGGCTTGAGCCACCGCGCCCGGCCCTGATTCTATTTTTGAACCCTAAAATACTTCCCTCACAGAATATTTGACTATTCAAGGTTCAAGTATGCCCAGAGAGTAAATCTTGAGGAGTAGAGATGAAGAAGAGTTGGGGGAATGTTTTTTGGTACAATTTAGACTACAGGCAGGTAAAAACTTTGTTTTGGAAATATTGGATTGACTGTCTCCGTGGTCCTGAATCCCACGGCCAATCAGAGGCAAAACTGAAAAACTGAAATTTACCTCTGAAAGTTTCTCACCCCCTTTCCGTCTCCTGGCTGCTTCTCCCCATGGTAACAGTTTCTGTAAGCAGGTGGCTAATTGCACAGATGCCCTCCTTACCCAGCCTCCTGTCAAAATCTGCGTCCTACAACTTTGGACAGTTGAGGTTACCTCAAGCTCAACTAGAGCCACTGGTGAGGCATAGCTTTAACAACAGGAAGTGCTCTTCCAGAGCACATGCTAGAAGTGAATGTTGATTAAAGAGGTAGCAGTCCTAGGGTGTTCTTCATTGGTGAGATCACATTTGTTCAGTTCTGAGGAGCACCCTTTAAAAGGGGTGTTGTTCGATGAGGACACATCCAGATGAGGGTGGGACAGCTAGGCTGATGACATATAAAGACAGTGTTCTAGGAGGAATGATGAAAGAATTGAACCTTTGAAGTCTGACAGAAGAGGCCAGAATGGTCCTAGAAGCTGAAGGTTAGGAGGTAAAGGTGATTCAGTTTAAATACCCCTTCTGGTGTTTGCTTTTAAGTTTTATACCTTTCTGCCAGATGATCAACTGACTTGGTCTGAATACCTCCTATGGCAGAAAACTCACTATTCAGAACTCCAGAACGTGGGAGCTACCTTTAAATATTTCGCATGGAATGGTATTAAAAACTCCAGAAGGCAGAATATCTGCAAGTGGTAAGGAATAAGAAAAAGTCATTGTGGTTCAGAGTCCAATGGACGCTGTCTTCTGCAGTATACATAATATGTATTTTTATTTATATTTATATATACATATGTATTTTGAAAGAACATTCGGAATTAGTTTCTGGTGTCATGTTCTATCTTTCAGGATGCATGATGTGTATTTCTTCCAGCCTGGAGTGAAGAGCATGATGACAAATGAGAAACAATCATTTCACACATCCTGGTAAAATAAATATTCTTTGTCAGAACAGCAGGTGATTAGATCTTCATTTTGATATATGCTGCAGTGTCTTGAGAAATGAACTAGTGAGACCCAATTTCAAAGAGAATGCAAATTTCCAGCCCAGGAATATGTTGAGGAGATTAGAAGCTTGTGTAAAGTAGTGTAGAGGTG